GGCGGTGGCGGTGGCGGCGGTGGCGCGGCTTCCTTGGGTCCTTCCTTCCTGTTTTGCTCACTTCTTTTCTGCCTGTCTGACGTCCTCCTTTCTTCCTGAAAACAAACGGAGCTTTGGGAGGGAAATGTCAGATGGACAGTGCTGACATGCTACAAACACTGCAACTTATAGCATTTCCGAGTTGTTCTTTGATCCATAGTTGACTCTTATCATTTTTTATTTTTGTGTTTCATGCTTTGGCCCATTCGTCTGATCCCTATCCCCTGAAACCCAGAGTATCACTTGCGCTTATGGGACTGAGGCCGCGAGCAACCCAGTACAGCCATGGGTACTGATACGACCAGGCCTTGGCTGATTTGAGGCCAGCCTTTCCGTGCTGAGTCCACAGTCCAGAGCTCTGGCTCTGTAAGCTTGTAACCCATGTCACAGTCTGCTGCAATCAATCTGCTTGCACTACTAGGGCGACGGCTATCGCATGGATGCCTTGGAAAGAGATGATGAAGGAATATGCGAGCTTAAACAGCACGCGCTGCACCTGTCAGGGGGGAATGCAAATTAAAGGCCCTCTAGGACGGGAAGTTCTGCGCTTTGCCTCAGGCCCGCGGAAATACTTGAGCAACGGCCACATGGTGATGTTGTTTACCTCGGAGGGCCCCTCCTTTGGGCGGACGGTGTGGTCATAGCTGGAGGGTCAAGGCTGTGCATGCGGAAAGTTTGAAATGCTTCCAACAAGCCGGGTTGCCATGAAAATGATCCACGTGGAGATGGCCCATAGCACCCCTAGCAGAGCAGAGCAGAAGACGCAAGCTGCTTCAGGCCCAAGCCCGCCATGGCCTGGCGACTCTCGGAGGCATCGCTCCTGTGCCCCGGCTGCCCCCATGTTCCTTTCTCTTCATCCACGCCCGTTTTTTGAAGTCCTCGACTATCGCATAGAGAACCACGCCAATCTGCATGGCACCGGTCCTTGGCAACGATTCTCAGCGCGGCACATTGCAGGGACTTGGCATCGGGAGAGTTGAGATTGCGGCGCAGTGTGCATCAAGCCACCTCAACTACTCACACGTGTCTTGCCTGCTTGGGCTGCAAAGCTCCACGACGCTCGACGACGAGAGGCTGAAGGAATTCGACTTCCTCTTGAGGAAAGCCATCTGGAAAAGTGAGAACAGGGAAACCTGCAGAGTAGCGCATGTGTGAGCAGGCGGAACAAAGCCCAATGTGCTGACTTGGTCGTGGCTCTTGAACTGGCGAAGCTACAAGTACAGTAGGGAACGGTCATGAGTGTCACGCTCCATGAAGACAAGACACTGCCGACAAAAGGCCCATGAAGCTGTCCTGCCACGAACAAACTGCAGCCATCTCCAGCGGAGTGCACTTGTCCGTCCCTGCTGCACAACTTTCCTCGAATGCGCCGTTGCTAGTAGCTGACTATGAGCTGCGGCGCGCACTGCTAGTGGTCCATCAACAGCAGCCAGCTACTGCCTATGCCGCCACGTGCATGTCACGTCCAATGCCACTTGTTTGCTGAAAGATTCTGTGTCGTCTTGCTTCTTATCGAGAGACTCTCGAACCTGAGGTCAGTCAATTGACCCGGCGTCCTCGATCAAACCGCCCGCACCGGGTGCATGGTTCGCCCAAAGACCAGTCCACACGTCCTGTCCACAAGGCAGATATACAACACAAAGGAAACGGGAGGCGCAGTCCTGGCCCCACTTCTCCACTGACGTCAGCCACGTCCCGAAGAATCCAGTGGCTTGGTTGGCCTGTTCAGGCGACAGCTGACAGATGGAGTGGCCATTGGCCATGACTCCATGCTTTTGGCATCTGGTAAGATCGCAGGCACGACGCCCTGCCTTTGAATCCTTGAGTGAAACTTGCTAATCTAAGCTATCAGAGCAGACCTATCGATGCACCTGCTGAGCAAGTGATGCCTATAGTAGAGCATCAAGCTAGGAAGCCTCAGCGCTGAAGCTTCAGAGCTCTGCTGATCAGACTTCGGCCGGCTTACGCAAGCTTGAGACATGCGCCCGCGACTAGACGACTCCACTTCGGCTTCACTGGGCAGGGCACGGGTCTCGATCATGCAGAGTCTTGTGGTCTCAGACAAACGGGAAGACCGGAACACAACTACTTCATCGGTCTTCGGCGACCCTTGGCCCGTCTGACAGCATCAGAGCTTGCAGCGGCCGCGCTGGTTGCTGCACCTTCACCTCAGTGCAGGTAAAGAATCACACCAGTCATGTGCAATGGAACTCACGTGGCATTGCCATTCGATCATGCGGGCTTATGGTTGACTGACTGTGCTACAGAAGTCGAAGCAAGTTGCCCCAATACCACCAGTAAGCCCGAACCGGTTGATGCATGACGGAATCTTTGGCTATCGATCTCTCTTACGTACCATTTGCCGAGTTGCGCTCTGCTTTCAATCCCCGGATCTTGTTAGCAATGGCCGCGGATTTCTTCCGCCGAGAATCGCTGGCATGATCCTGGCACATGTGAGCCGCATCCAGCAGCTTGCGGCGCGGCAAAACTCTTGCACCGAAAAATGCGTCCTCCTCCTGCTCTTCTGGCTCCTCCTTCTCCTCTGCGTCGAGGCTACGCCACGTATCGTAGCGATCCTGAGGGAGCACTCTCTCGCGCTCTCTCCCAGAGGTCTGTCGGCCGCGCGGTCGTCTAGGGAGCACTGTACACAAGTATTCCTGAAAATTAGCCATCCCGAATCCATTGAACGCCTTGCTGCCCGATGCAAGCAGCATGCCAACTCGCATCTCCAGTTGAACCGGCTTAGGAGGACGGAGGACGTGACCCGTGTGGCCCCTTTGATCCTTGCCACTGAAGCCGAGAAGCTCTCGCAGCAGTCAGGTAGGCAAAGAGTCCAGCCTCACGCAGCTTCTCTGCTTCAGAAGGCGCCTGGTCGAGGGCAGCCTCCACCTTCAGTCACAAAGGGACACCGTGCCAGCTGCCGGCAGTGCACTGGCAGTGCACCTTAAACGCGTCAACCCTGGTACCGAGCCACCAGGGAAAGGCAACCGCAGAGGCGTGCCCAGGCCTCGTCCCGACGAGATCACGTCCCGAAAATCTCTGCTAGTAGTGCTCCTCTCGGCCAGCCTTCTGGAGGTGTAGTTCGAATTGATCTTCAGGTGGTAGCCAGCTCTTCAAATCTTCCTACGAGTAACAGCCCAAGGACAACTCCAACTGACACTCCATCACCTCGATTCCCAAACCGAGGCCTGGGATGGCAACCGCGCCCACACTGTTTGAGGATCCGTGCCACGCACCAAGCTGGAGACCATCATGAGCACAATGGCCACAAGGAGGGCCTTCGGAATGCAGACTCCGACAAGGCCAGCAAGACGTCACTTGGGCAGTGCCAGTGTATCAGATATCCAACAACCCTCGGCTTGGCTTAGCTCCACCCATGGCTCATGCTCGTGGATCTCCAATAGCAAAGTTCCAAGAAACAAGCACCAGCAGCAACGATCCCCTTCAGTCACATATGTCACATCTACCGGACATACGAGGACGGAAAGAAGCTAAGCCTTAGCAGGTAAAGCCTCAGTCATCAGCGCGACATCGGACGCACAGACTTCATCTTTTGGCGATTTGACGTTCACCTACATTCACGGCATATGACGGCCTGGAGAAGCTCGAACAAGTGGAAGCTGAAGAGCCACCAGCTTGCCACAAAAAGGAAGCAGTTCCAGGCAAGCACCTCAATCCACTTGCGGATTCACGGAGCAACGAAGAAGAAGCTGGCGTTTCGGAAACCCTCGGTCCCCGGCTGCACAGCGCTCCTTAAGAATCATCGTGGCATCACCGATCAGCACCCAAGTGAGCTTGCACCTGCGGAAGCTGCGGCTTCTAGTTCTGGGGCGGATCCCAGAAAAGATATTTGAAGTGTTCGTGTCACCAGCCTCCAAACGACAAAAGCTTTTCCTGCAGCAGTCATTATGATCGTGCGGATGCTGGGTCTAGCAAATGTTTGCTATCCGGTAGTGGGGCCGATGTGTATCTGTCAAAACTGTTGAGGTCAAGCAGAACACACATCCATTCATGCAGGCATCTTGTCTTGCATCGCATGTGTTGCTTCTTGAAGGCCGCACTCAGTACACTGTTACGTGCTAGTGCAGTGACAGCTTCGTCGCTGTAGCAGCTGACGCTATTCTGTTTTGGGCATTGAAATCGCCGTCCCTGTCCAAAAGACCCGACCGGGAGCCACTCGCTGCTTACATCATCGAAAGATACCCTCTTACCGTGTTCATCCAATTTTAACAGGAATCAAGGCCGACACGTCAAGGAGCAAATATCTCAACTACATTCCTTGTTCCGCAGTACTGCAAAGGCGGTAAAGGTTTGTCCGACATGGGGATGCTCGCCATCCTGTCTCAGTACAACTGTTCTGGACTGTCCTTACTACCGCATGTTGTCAATGCGTCAGGAAGCTGCAGGATAAGATTTTGCTGATGCAGGATTTCGACTTTAATTGTTGACTCGACATCCACGTTTCCTTTTTGCAGAGGGCGTTCCAAGATGCGCTTTGTTCGCTGCGTGTTTTCTCGCACTGTCGCAGTCGAAGGCTTTCCGGCTAATTGCGTCGTAATTGCTTCAGAAACTTGGAGACTTCGCTAAGTTCTTTCGATCCCTGCCGTGGGCGCCTCACAGCCTCTATGGGAAGCACGTTCCGTCTTGCAAACTCTCTGTGCCTGTGGAAAATCAGATTCAGCGTGCTAGCACAGAGTTCATTACCACCATGAGTTTCGTGCGAGCCGAGCATCTCAAGCGCTTCCGCTCCTTGGCTGCGTGCCACGGACCGGTTCACCATTCATGAACGCTTCCGGGCAGCTCAAACAGTGCTCAAACAAACATGATTTGCTCTGCATTGAACGACTCGCATTTCACACAAGATGCCTAGTCGCCGGTGAGCAAAGCTACTTGTAAACAGAAGGGCTTTTTTTGCGAGACACCATGGTAGCGGCATCTTCTCCTTAGGCATGAGAAGCAGGCACGATGTTCAAAAGCCTTCAGAACTTTGACATCCACAACTACCACCATGTGTGCAGGGCAGGGCCCCTGCCTGGGAAGTTCACCAGCTCCCTCCAGCGTGGTTCGGTGCGCAGGATTCGCCGCAAAGCTGCAGGGAAAACGGGGAAACCAAACGAACGAAAGGGCTTTCCTGAACTGCGTCGATGTTGCTAGCACAGCCACTTCCAACCATCAACAAGCAGAATAACTAATGGGTTGTAAGGTGCGATTTTGATGCACCTCGAAGTACATGATTCACCCAGTATCACTCGAAGCTTGCAGCTGGCCGGATTGTGGCCTGCAGGGATTTTTTTCGTGTACTTCAGCACTTCGTCCTTGATCAGCCTGGAAGTCAGGAGACAGAAGGTGAAGCCTCCAAGCTACTGCCGCATCAGCTTCCACACGCCAACCTAGCTAAGTGACAGGAGCTGATGCTTCATAAGCCCCTGCCAAAGTTTGTCGAGACTCTCCTGAGTCGTTCGAGGATGGCTGCTGGGCTAAGCTTCATTCACGTAGTTTTTGACTGTCCATCCAGTCAATCCACTTCCGCTCGCTGCAGCCAAAGGGCCATCTTAACACCACCGTACGATGCATCCGCTGCTTGCAGCACTCTTTGAACTTGCTCCCTGCACGGCAAGCACGCAGACTTCTCATTGCAGCTGTACAAATGCCAAAGCCTCCGGAGACTGAAGCTATGCTCTTTCGCTTGCATATGGTGGCCGAGCTGAAGGAATGCAACATTGTGGCTTGGCACTGATTGCATCGCGATACGAGCATGGCATAACCAAAAGACTGGCATACCCAACACCCGTTCTTCCCAGTCATCCCAGCATCTTGCAGAACGCCTGGAACGCTTGCTAGGGATGAAGATGGTCAGGTCCAGAGGCGTAGGTCGACAGAACTGCTGCGACGGCGTGACACAGAGCGGCTGGGTCTTCGCGTTGACGTTTACCTTCGTGGATCGATTGATCGCAAAGCAAACAGCCAAGTGAGACGGCCACCCTTTGCGTTGCAAGCACAACCATGACACGAGTCAGGATTGATTCTGCGAGAGTCCCACTCCGGCGTCAGTCACACTCACACACCACAAGTACTCACAAAAGGCAGTATCAAGGGCACCAATGGGAGACGGTGGAGTGTTCTGGGCCAGGTGCTACAGCCTGGGCCTGCCTCTCGAAAGTGAATGCAGAGCTGCCGAAGATGCGGAAACAACCAGGCAAAACCCGACTATCCTCGAACCACTGCTGCAGCCTGCAGCACTTGCCACTGCATAATTTTCAAGGTTGATGGAGCAATGAGTTGATGAATCTTCTCCTGCCAAAATCCGAGCCACACCCAAGTCGATCCTCAGCAGGAGCTAGGGCGCAATAAGCAGACACCAGCAGGTAGTATAACATATATATCTGAGCCAATGGATTCATATGTTGGCATTCAAGAAGACTAGCTCCCGACGGCCGGGGGCCTGTGAGACTACAATCTTGGGTTCCTCCTTAGCACCAGTGTCTGCGGCTTAGCGACTTGGCTGGCCTCTTGCAGTCATGCTGAAGTGCGGCGATGCGATTTTCCTCGCCTAAACTCTACTTGGTGGTAGTGCCACCACTTCTGCGACATGGATGTATTGAACTTTCGTGGCTCGCACCCCTAGTCGCCTTTACAACGCTGGCCTTCGAATAAGCCTATCAAATTTTGGCCTCTCTGGTCATAGTAGAAACAGCGATGCCAAGATACTTGGCGGTAAGTAAAGTCAAAAATGCCTGGTTACTGCCTACTTGCGAGCCGCTAGCTGCGGCTAGCTGGGACGAAAGCTCTACCACGGACAGGGCCGGCGACACAGGACTGGGAGAAACAGACGACATGCACTCAGGTGCGTGAATTTCGACGACTCGACAAAAAGCTCATGAGAGGAACTGGACTCATAAGCAATGTTGCTACCGAGTCCAAAACATCCCAGACAATGCAGTGCACAAATTCCCATGAAAGGAGCTGGACTTGAAAGAATCAGCATGTCAACGCTGCCCAGAGAGTCTCTGGTTGAAGCCAATATCAGCTTCATGAGAAGGGATCAAAAAACCCTACAGCCAGCATCAGCAGCATCAACAGAGGCCGGTTTCGCCTACCGAAACCATGCCGAAAGAGGTATCTAGCCCAAAAAGACACTCCGTGGCAACACAGCTCTGGCCCCTTAGAATCCCAGGCTCACGTTGTGAGGTAGCTCCCCGCTCCGAGGGGGCTTGCGTGATTTCCTTGATCTATATCTAAATTTAATCCGGGGCTCAGCGCTTGGCAGGACTTTGCCTTGCCGGCAAATGCAGCGAAGTGAAGCGGCGAGAAGCCACACACTCCACCTGCAACTCTCTTGTCCGTTCATTCGCCGTTCCAGTCTTCAACAGTAAACGAACCCGTCTTGATCAGATGCTAAGCACATCGGCAAAGCATAAGTTGCAGCATGCGCCTGCCTCTGGATAACTCGTCCCATATCCTTGGAAACCGCTGAGGGCACAGAGCAAAAGCAAATCCCATGAAGCACCCTCGGACATGCTTTAGACAGCCTAAGCTCGACAGCTCCCACTACACGTCTCGTCTGTCTCGAGTGTGCCTGCTTCGCCTAGCAGCCTAGCAAAACGCCCGGGACGCTCATTTTGACAGCCGCCTTTTGCTTGGCTTTTTGCTTACATGGCCACTGTTGCCTTAAGCTCCAGTGGTGTTGACAGAGTGTGTGGCCTCGCTTTGCAGGACGATTGCATCGGTAGCCTTTTCCGTCCGAGATGCGACAAACCGAGGCACCTGGGCGAGCCGCCTCAGGAGGCCGAAGAGGACCCGCTTCGTGCTGCCTCGCCCTCGCAGGCCTCGCAGGCCTCGCAGGCCTTGGCCTTGGCCGTGACTTGTTTTCGGTCTTCGGCCCAAGGCGCTGGTAGCATCTAAACGAATGATCATCGCAACGGACGCCCGGCGGCCCAAAGCCATCAGCCGTTTTCACGAGTCTACGTGGTGGCTGAGTGCACCCGGAAACGCCACATGCCTTTCCTCCATGCTGCCAGCATCTTCTCCCAGCTGCCCCGTGGCCGTCTGTCTCTTCAACACGTCCCCAAGCATGTTTTCTGCATCCAGGCACGCTGCACCCCCCTCCATGCAGCTGGCAGCGATAGCCTGTTGGCCCATGTTCGTCAGCACGCCTCCGAAACTCACAGGGCCAGCGATTGCACCCCTCTACGATACACCACTTCGCTTTCCCGGAATGCAGCTCACATCTTCTCCCTGGGGGGCCATTGCTGTCTTGAAGTCGGACAAGGGCTCTGGCAAAGCGCTTGCATGACTCGACGTTACACCGTCTGGCGCCATGTTTTACACACCTCCAGCCAGCGGGGCCGAAGTTGTCCGCATGCTCAACGCGCCCGGCTGCCAGTGCGTCACAGCCATCCGCGCTGCAGGCCCAAGGCTTCGACTGTGGTTGCCGCAGTCCCAAGTTCACCCATTTCTGGAGCTCCAACCAAGACCGAGGTAACGGCTTCCTGCGCTGCCACACGAGCTGTCGGCACAGCAGCAAGGCTGGCAGAAAGCATGGGTTCTGCCTCCCTCGGTACCGGTCATCTTTCATCAACCCGGACAGGCCCAGGTTGGCTAAGCAGACCAACTTTTCCACCCAAGGCCGCAGATGCCGGAGGCCGTCCTGCTCCGCAGAGCGTGGCACACCATCTGCGACCAATTGGCTGCAAGACATCTCCGTCGCGCAGATTCCGGCACTGATTTGAACAACGGCCTGTGCAAGTTCGTCGGCGTTCGGAACTGCTAGCGCTTGTTGTGTTCTGTGCGCCAGTTTCCTGAAAGCATCATCCATCTTCTGAGGCTGAGCTCGGACAAGGCGCTGCCACTGGGCTACCGCGGGTATCATGACGGAGCATACTTTAGGAACTTTAGGAGCTTGTGCTGATTGCACAGAGACCGGTTCTTCGCTCTCCTCCGTGCTGGGACACGTGGCCAAGAACACGGATTTGGCTCGTCCTGCACCCTCTGCCTCTCGAAGCCCGGGCTTGCTTTCTACCTGGAAGGTGACCCAAGTTACCTCCGACTCAGTCTGCAACTGGGGCTGCAACTTCCGGATGGCTTGCTGGACATCCATGCGTACCTCATGGGCTGCTGCGACGAAAGCGAACTCAGCCTCCTTCAACTCGCAATTCTCACCCTTTGGGAAGAAGCGTGCAAGTCGCAGGCCGTACGGCAAGACCTCAGTGACCCAGCCCAACAGTCTGTCCGGATCCGCTGCACGCACAAGCACCATCCGGCAGCTGCCGGCACAACTCGACAGTGCCGCTAATCTCAAGCAGAATTAGCGTTGGTTGAGGTGTGTGCCTTGCTCAACCATGCCAGGCAAATGTCTACGAAGGACTGGGTTTGGATATGTGATCCATAATTAGTCGGTATCCCCCCATCTGGATTCCCCCCTGCTGTGAGCCCAGTGGCAAGCAGGCAGCATCTGACAAATTCAGACAAGCAACAGCGCAAGAATCCAGCAAGGGATTCTTCGGGGTAATCTCGCTACTTAGCATCCTACCTGTGCCGGCAATACTGACTGAGCTTGCCAAAGAACTAGGCATGACAATCTCACTGCCTCCAAGTAGCTCATCCTCCAGCTGCTGCGCCAACTGAGCGATTGTCTTCGCGTCGTCGCTGAGGCACGCCTCGACCAGAAGACACCAGAAGGTGCGCGAAGAGGGCACCTCAGCAGCACTGCAACACATCTGCAGCAGATGGCTCCTCCGTTGCCACCAAGGAGCTGCCAAAAAGGACTCCTGTTCAAAACAGTTGCCGAAACGCATGGAAAGTTTCTGTGTTACACCCAGCACAGTATCAATCACACTCACACTTTCGACCGAAGCCGGCGCCCAAATTCCCCATATCCAACCAACCCGGCATTACAGCAAGCTCGGATTCGAGCGGCTCTACCGACATCGACACACTTCACGTAATCTCAACCAGGGCGAGAAGGTGCAGCTGCATTCAATATACTCCTGCTCTTCCGTTTGGCCTGTAGACTCGGCGAACGCCTTCCTGCCGAGTCGCTTTTCAGAACGAAACGCGTGCAAACAGCCCCACTATCTCCATTACCCCTGCAATGCAGCAGGGCTCATGATGAAGTCGCTGTTCTGGTCATACGCGGATCTTCGCTCAGGATCTGAAAGGACCTGCAGCTTCAGGCTTGCACTTACTAACAGACATTGTACATCCAGTCACTCATCCATTCCACAGAATCGAGGCTCACGGTGCGGCCTTAATTATACAAAGATCATCAAGAGGTCATGACATTTGCAAGTCTATGATGGCCTCATAGGCTTCCTGTAGTTCCTGGAACTTCTCTGTGGCTTGTGGGTCGTTCTGGTTCTTGTCCTGTGAGCGGCAGCAGAAGTCCGGACAAGCTGGAAGCTCTCGATGTTGAGCTTTAGTATCAATGAACAGACCAAGCTTCTTGCAGACTTGCTTTCATGATCTTTCATGACAAGCATTAAGACTATCTACATGGAACACATGATGGCCAGGTCACTGGGTGCAGCTTCAATGCCTAAGTCGGACGAGTGTGATCCTGCTTGGCAAGACTGGGATGGACTGGGTGCCTGGCAAGCTTCCGATACCTTGCAGGATGCAACGGTCCAGTCGCTCAAACCCGCGAAACATATCTCCATGACCAATAAGTCTTACTTAGTTACTTGGATCGTGCTGTAGGTCTGCCTGCGGAGCGCACGACACAATCGAAAAATACTATGAAGGTCGGTCTATGTAGGCCCATCTTCTCCTATCTTCTTCGGAAACTCCGAAACTTAGTCGACTTAGTCTCCGACTGCAATTTGATGTCATCGGAGCTGGCATCTGGAGCTACGCCCAGAATCCTTGGACGTCGACGTCTAAGAAACTCAATGCCACCGGCCTTTCGCTCAAACACCCATGGTCAACATCCAAGGAGCTGGTAGTAAGTGCCTCCACTAACAGCCTCCGCAACCGCCTGGCGGACATGTGACATGGGGGCTCGATGTGGTCTCCAGGCTTTCATGACCAGGGCACGTCTTGTGCTCTGCTCGGCTAGGGGCAAGGAAGCGGCGGTCATGTGGAGATGCTTACACAGTAGACGGAGGCCGACCTCATCCGCCATCAGCGCCGGGTAGGGCCGGAATTAGGTTACTGGGTTTTTGTTGCAGGGCAAGTGATCGATGCACTAGGTCACCAGGCCCTGAGTTCTTGCAAATACACAGATCCAACATGCAGCACACTACAGATCCGACTGTGTGAAACTGCTTTGACGGCTCCGGCAAGGCTAGAGGTGTAAAAAATGTGTCCGCAATTGCGACGCCTGCATTCGCCACTTCTTCACCCACTCTCTCTCTCTCTCTCTCTCTCTTCCTTCCTTCCTTTGGGGAAAGGTCTGTGCACTCTCTCTCTCTGTCTCTCTGTTGCTGTCTCTCCCTCTGCCGTGCCGTCCTCAAGGATCACTGCCTAGATGGTAGCGTGTCACATAAGTTGCATTGGTCAGATGGCTGGGGAACAAAAAACGGCAGCAGCACAAACACAAATGAGTCTGCGTGTCAGAGGTTTTGCAACTCAGGGGTCGACTGCATGCTGTGCATGTCCGCATTTAATCCAGTCATGAACACATCTGTATTAGCAATCAGCATTTGCGGAATGACGAGTTCAGCCACAATCTGTCATGCAAGCCTCTTGGGAAGCGAGGCTTTCAGCAGCCTGGCTCTGAACGCGTGCACGGCGACACGCTAGACTGTCGCATATTGTCGCAAACCGAAATTGCCAGAACGCCGCTTACAGACCGATCGGCAACGTCTGCGAAGCCACGGACGGCCTGGAAGTCAGCCTCCACTGAGCGCTCCACACCTTCCATCGCACGCTCAAGGATGCGAAGATCCTGGTCACCAAGAACACAGCAGCACTGTTCTTCTAGCTGCCCTCGCATCCCTCGCAAACGAGCAGTACGAAGCATGCCTTGTTCAACAGGCCGAGATCTTCCGCGACCACCGCATCTGCTGGCTTTGCCTCCATCAAGGACTGGCCTGCACGGTGGGGCGAAGTCCCGATCTTCAGATTCACTCCGAATCTTCACTCCTGCCCTGCAGGTCGAACCCCCTAATGTTGACTTCACAAGTCTAAAGCCACCTAAATTAAAACAAAATTGACCCCCAGCGCTCAATTATAAACCCCCCCTTCACTTACAAAGCCCGATCCGTGGAACACAATAAAAATCTCGCTTCCGGATCTTGCTGTGATATTATACTTCTGTACCTCTTGTACTACGACGACCGACACCCCTCAATAATCATTGCCCTCTGCCTGGGCCTGAAACCAATCAAGGGAATAATATTTTTAGGAAGTGAACATTAAACCCGAAACGAAGAACCGATTCCCGGATCCCTGGAAATGCTTTGGAAGCCTTCCACCTCCAACGCAGGCACTGCAACTGAAGCGCCGATCCTGAGAGCTTCCCGGAAGAGTCGTGCGAGTTACTGCGCAAGCAAAGAAACGAAGGGGAGCCGGTAAAAGCGCAAGGCCAAGGGCAAGTGATCTAGCGAAAGGATGCTTCGAAGGTTCGGAGCCAGTTGACGACTTGGTTGCCGAAGTCACGGCCAATCAACCCGCGTCACCTCTACACCTTCCACCTCTACTTTTGAAGTCACCTTACTGAAGTGGCAAACCGCACGAAACAAAAAAAAATGGTCTCCACTTATATAACACCAGGCCACTTACAATCAATGCACTTCTGGTCAAATTGCGGCAAACTGGTGAGAGTCGCTTGCGACATAAGGGGTCGCAGTTCAGTCTAGTCCCTTTCAGACGATGGCCACACGAGAGAATTCGAATCGTGATTCGTGATTGCATGTTGCTGGCTACCCATTCGCATCATGCTCGTGTTCCTGTGGCCACATGCGGCCGACTGTTGGTGCGAATAGCTGCGGCGCCCCAACACTTTCCAAAATTCTCGACAGCTCTTCAACTGCGGCATGGTCGCTCCACGAAGCTGTCTGCAATGCCGAGGGCCTGCAACGACAGGAAAGCGACTTGCTCTTGCAAACCCTACAACAAGCATGACGACGCACAGCCAAGCTGACAGCTCAATGATGGCTCCATGCTGAGCGAGGTGCCAAGGCCGAAAGAAGGCCGCCGGCAACGGGACCTCTGCTTTGTGCCCTATGATGGGTCTTCTTCGAAGTTCAATCAACAGGCAGTCTGTTTGCGCTCGCGCCTTCGGAGCTCAGCCTCAGCACTCGCAACTCGCAGTGAGCTGCGATGATCTGCGACGTCTGGCTTCGTCTGACGCGACTTCTCCCCAAAGCTTCCGTGAAGGCTGGCGCGAGCTGAGGTCAGGACTCAGCTCGCGCCAGCGCATCCTCGTCACTCAGCTCCTGACCGGACCCTCCACGCTCCCAAGGCAAGGAGGGGGGAGTGTGCATATGAGGCAACGGAAAAAGGGGCGACTCGCAGATACGCGGACCTTAAATCCATTCACAAACCCGAAAAAACCTAACACCGCGAAGGGTCTGAGTAGGTGTCTGAGTCTTTGATCCGCGGATCACCCCCCCCCCCTCCCCCCCCTCAAGAGTGGGGCAAAGGCGCCTTTGTGCATAGTCGCTTTCTTTCTGGGGGCCCCGAGAAGCGACACGAAGCTGATCTCCCCTCTCCCCAAGTTGAAGACTGAACTGCGCCTCTCCAGCCGGATATCGCACCTGATTCGCATGGAGATAAATCAACTTACACGTTGTTCGACACAGGCAGACCGGAAGAATTGCAGCTGCGCTGCAGGAATGCCACGGACAAGCAGCTCGTTTCGGAGGTCTTCAACCTGGCAGTAAGATGTCTCCAATGACCGAGCGCGATGTGCTTCCACAGTTGATTGCCTCGCTCTCTTCCACAACGGCCACCAACTCTCCTGTGCACAGACAGATCAGGGAGGCCTTCTAGGCTGTAGATGTAGATAAAGCAACACGGACCTCCCTCGCTAAAGCTGGCTGCACTGAAATGGCAAGTCTGCCTTCCACTCGAGCGATGAGCTGCTTCTCGCTCCAAGAAGAAATGATAACCTGGCAAAACGAGGAGATGCTGTGAGAATGTTGCGGCTCGGGAAGTAACTGCCAAGGCCTGGCCTCAGAGACCTTGGAGTCGTCAACCAGGCGCCAGAACTCGTCCTCCGTCACGTTTCCTCAGTGTTTGACAGCTGCAGGGCTCGGTCTGGCAATAGGATGGGAGAGACTTGACTGTGCCTCCATTGACTTCACATCAAGTCAGGCGACCGGCCGACTCAGCCTGCGTCTGCAAATCCTCAATTAAAAAGAGCAACATCACTTGCGACTCCCCCAAGTCGGCCAGTGCGCGTCCGGCCTCCAGCGCAGGTGCCTGGGCCACTCCGCCGAATCGGCGGATGTCCTGAGTCCAGATCCACGTCTTCAAGGAGCGGCAGCGACCAATCGCGAGTGAAGACGTGGCAGCTGTCGACGAGCAGACGCTGCGGTCTTTGCGGTGCCAAGCATCCGTCGTCAGTGGGTTGCCGATCTTTTTCAGTCTGTGCGGCCCACATACCTCACGAAAGCCCTGCTTCAAGCAAGCCAGGCTTTGCAGCATCTTCAACCGAACCTCCGTTACGGAATGTATCACAAGTCCAGTCTCGAGACTGTCCGAACCGCTGAGACGACCCCGGACGCCTTCGGCTTGAAGCCCTGACACGGCCCCATCGACAAAACTGCTGCCCAGGTCACGAAGCAAACCGTGCTCAAAGAACCGACGAGGACGAGAAGTCCAAGAAAGGCAAAAGACGAGCCTCGAAATTGACAATGGTAGTCCGTGCACACATGCCCCCGTTGCTGCAGGACAGTTTCATACAGTTTCTGCTGCTGTTGCAACTTTCACAGACACTGGTGGCCGCTTTACAAACTGCGACAGCACTTCAGTTGTCAGTATCCTGTCCAGTGGCCTTGACGTCGACCCAGCCGCGGCATGGCGACAATTTAGCAAACACGCGTCTTGTCTTAAACAGAACCTGTGTTACTGTTGGAGATGGCTCGGTGCGTCCTGCCTCTCAAGTGCCACACTCCAAATGATGCACTGCATCTGCAGCTGCTGGTGAGATTGTCCATAAAGCGTCTCAGTCTCAGGGGTGTCTGACAGAGCCCAAGATGTGAAGGTCAGTCTTTAGCTTTCGCTGCGTTCAGACACAAGACCTACAGTAGCTGGACTTCCAACCAACAGCTTTTTCGTTTCTAGCCACCTGTTTGGCATCCTACACATGGCGAAACGCCTTTTTCTTGCTGCGAAGCCACCAAAGCGCCGGGCCTCAAGCTAAAGTCTTGGCGAAGTCCTTGTTATCCAGCATCTTGCTGTACGGGCTTTTGTCCAGCTTGCTCTTCGCCTGCCCAATCCAGGAAACAACCTGAAGAGACAGACCTTTACATAAGCCTGGACCTCAGTAGGTTCGAATATTATTGCTGTTAAAGATCATACAGAATTATAGTACATATACATACAGTGATATATATATATATAATACATATATATATATATATATTGTTTTACATACATACATACATACATACGCACATTTTTAGCACATGCATGCATGCATGCATGCATATCCAAATAAATAAATACATTTATTTATTTATATAGCTGTGTGTGTGTGTGCGTGTGCCTGTGTGTCCCTCTGTGTGTCTGTGTGCATAGAACATCAAGCCTCGCCACCTCTGCTACTCAAACAAATCGGATGCCAGGTGGCCATTTCCGGGGCACTTGTCACATCCTTGGTTGCCAGCAAGGCAGCTTGCTCGATACGAATTCTCCAAGGGCCATCGGTTGCAAACAATCGAAACTGATAACTTGCACGGTGCTCGCACGAGTACGGGTGCCACGGATCGCACCTGGACCAAGACAGTAATGCCTATAAAAGGTCTGCAGGCCGACGAACGACACAGCAGTTCTAAAACGACGGAATGTATTCTGGGTTTCACGGCATCCCTCCCATCGCGGACGCTGGAAGCAAGTGATGTACTTAAGAGAATACCTGGATCTCAAGCCCGAGTTCTGCAGAGCTGGAACTGTAGGCAGCAAGGCTCTAAGTGGCAAAGCCCATCGTCACGCAATCGCTTATTCACGGCTGCATTTACCTCGCAGCCTGCTGAAACTCTGTGAACTGACTGCCGCGCCACGTCTGCGGCGAGGATTGCTACAGCTATTGCGTGCTGAGTAGCTTTGGGTGGCTCGAATTTCTGCAGCTCTTTCAGCTTGTCCATCTTGTGAGGGACCTATCAGTTCCAAGGGTCTTGGACACGCCGAGCTCGCTGCCCCACGGAACTTCGACTTGATGGGCCTTTCCACGGTCCACTTGCGTGGCCAGTCCCTGGATGCGAAAGTGAAATCCAAATGTGGACTGCTGGAAGCTTTGAGGCAATGCATTGCCCACACACGAAGGACGAAGGCCAAACAATGCTTGGCTGATCTGGCAAACCCTGGAGTTCGCCTCAGGTCCGCCCACTCGACCCGTCATCCTGGCCGTGGCAGCAGCTTCTCGCGCTCCTGGTGCCACGAGATGGCAGCTTGATGCAATTCCTCTCTGTGCCACCTGGATGCAACATATCTGCTACCATGGCTGTGCAGGTGCCTTTGACCGCGGTGAAGTAGGCTGGCGCAGGGATGCCGACATGAGCAAAAGATGGACAAGCACAGAGTGCCACAACGAAGCAGGCCTTGGTCCGTGAGAGAAAGGGGGGCATGCATTTCGAAGGAGTACCTCAACAGGAGCATCGTCACATTCGAACATGATAATTGACTAAAACTTGCGACTCTGTCACAGGGACAATTGCCATCGGGCCCGCTAGATCGGATCTCTTCGGTCACGTGTTGTCCAGCTGGTTGACCCCGTACTGCGTGAAGAGCATCTGAGCTAACATGGCCAGCAGCAGACAGCATGTCATCATGATATGTTGTCGCCGGTTGAGAGCATTGACTCGCAAGCTCGGGAGATGAACGACTCAAACCAAGACTCTTCCTGAACCATCCTGAACCCTCTGCTTCAGGCTACCACGACAACATCGACGAAGGCTCCACTAGAACTGCCGGATGCTCTCGGCCTCCCCGACCAAGGGCTGCTCAGGCGAATCACGTGAACTAAGGTTGCTCACCGTGAGAAGGTACCTGGCAAAGGGCATCAGGTTTGGTCACAGCGAGTGGGGGAAAATTGATGGCAACAAGCATCATCTCCAACTGGCGCATGCATCCTGGAAATATCAGATTCTGCCAGCTCGCGTCTGCTAAACATCGCATGACAAAGTTAGGTGATGTAGACTCAATGTAGACTACTCAGGAAAGTTTTTGGGGCACTTGTGGGACATGCCGTCATTCCTTTGCCAGCACCAACGACTCCGGAGTGATTGAACATAGAACAAGCAGCTGGAGGAGATCCACTTGCGTGCTGCCTCAGAGGCCCGCGGACCCGGGCACCAATCCGGCGCGAAGAAGGGATGTTCACCGCCGACCGGTTCCTCCTCCAACATTGCGGCCATCGTAGTCTTTGCCAAATTGTGTCGTACAGCTGGGGCCACTACATCCTCGCACAAATGCCACCCGTCTTCTGGGCATGTCGATTCCTCAAGAAGTCAGCACCAAGGTCACCAAAAGAGGTAAGGTGAATCACAAGTTCGTCCTCCGTCGCTTGCCGCGATTTCCAGGCGGCCTCCGCTCAAGAACAGTGCAAAATACGGGCAAGGGTTCCATGATGATTCCATCTCTAAACTGCGAGGCCGCCTTGCCCAGGTCGTAAATCGCATCCCACCTCCTAAGTTCCAGTTCCAAGTGGGGTTCTCCACTTGGCTGATTCGGAGGACCAGGTCTTGTGCTTTGAGCACCGTGCAATTCACCAGTGGTCAAGTCCTGGAGACGCACTCCAATTCGTGACACCGGCGAATTGAACCTCCCAGGAGCCCAAGGAAAGCTCACCACATGCAGCCGTCGGATACTAGCAGATTGCTTGAGTCTTGGGAGGAGCTTCGGATACACCGAGACTTCCTTGGAGGCGTGACGTGGCTTGCACGCGGCTGAGGTCCGCGCTCAATCCGCGGATGTATCCACCATTTCTTTATGTGCTCCTGCCGGACCATCTAGGGGCTAGCTGCACAAATTTCTTGGTGTATCCTGGCCGAACACTGTGCTAGCCACCAAGTGGGCTGCCATGCCCAACTCTCAAACTTAAGCCTGCGCAGCGCTGTCTGGATAAGTGCTTTCCACGCATGCGCAGAAGGAATGCACAAAACCTTTCCCAGGCGTGGCAAACTTTGCTTTAGTGCCGACATTGGCCAGCTCAGCTGCTACTACTGTTGCAAGTCTCGCTGGCTGGAACCAACTTCGCAGCACAAACGCTTGGAGGGGTAGGCACTTGGTAAGGCTGTAAGTATCCTGTAGGCTGGCACGGCAAAAGGCATTTTCTTTACAGGACGCATCAGGCTTGGGTGCTGGCAGGCCTTCTGCATGCCGACCGCACTTCTGACAACGTGGGAAACGTAGCTGGTGATGCCTGCAATGGGAACTTCAACATGCGAGGTGTATGCGAGGCTGTGCATCCCATTATCCTGACATCGAGCGTGGGGAGGGAGAAGCAGCAAGTAGTGCCGACAGACAACGGAATGGGAGTAATGTCGCACTGGGTTTAATTACCTGATCTTTTATTGTGTTTTTCCGGTTGCTTTCTCAGAGTTCTGCATTTTTTGCAATCCTCTTCAATGCGTTTGTGTTTTTTTCGCTCTGCGGGCTTGGTGTTGTTGCATGTTTTTGCTAGTTCCTTTCTGCTGCTGGTCACTCTTGACTGGGCAGAGGATAATAACAATGGAGTCCTGAGGCTTGATGCCCTGTAAACCCCACCTGGACAGCTCTAGGTACCAGGTACCCCTGAACCCTCCTAGGGTACTACGACAGTACTACTTTAGCAAGCCTCAGGCTTGGTCGATTGTCGGGGGTACGAAGGAAAAAGTTCTCAAACTGAGCGGTGTTTAGTCTTGGTAGCTATCTTGAAGTAATCGGGGTCTGGTTTCGAGGTATCGAAGTTCTGAGGCCCCCTAAACAACTCCAGGTTCCCTAAGTGTACTAATTTGGCAGGCCGCGGGCTTGGTCGAGTCGGGAGGAGGAAGTGTAGGATGATGGAAAAGTTGCTACTGCAGTTGCTACGGTACTACTCTACTGCACTACAAATGTGCTACTACTGTACTACCCCTGCTGCGCTATTCCTTGCTACTGTGAGTCTATTGTACTACTGTAAAACCTACTCTACAATACTGTAGACTACTGTACTACTACTCTGCTACCACCACACCATACTACTGTGGTACTACTGCTGTACTACTGCCGTACTTTGCCACTAGCTGCTGCACTACTATTGTGCTGTTCAATTACTGTACTAAGACTACTGTACTTCTGTACTAGTCCTGTCATCACCCTTCTGAAGAGCCTTCTCCCTGGGCCAGGACGCACCAATCCCACGCCCCTCTCAAGAGCCTATCTCCCTCTACAGCCCAATCCGCACAAGCCTCAAAAGCTTCTCCTTCCACAGTCCCCACCCCTGACCTCGCAAAACATACTACTCAAGGCGTCTGGAAATGGCCTTCAGTGTCCTGGAATCCACGAACTTGAAAGCATCCGTACCTGAAGTCCAGCAAAATGACGACACTCCAGTCCTGCTCCCCGCCCCCCCTCCCTCCCTCCCGCCACACATGGTGGGTTTGAGCGCCAAGCTTCTCCAAGTCAAACAAGTCGGTGCTCACGATTGTTGGCGTTTTGTACACCATCATAAACCTGGCACGAGAACCAGCGCCTAGCAATGCTTCCGACATCGCAGCCGAAAACAACACTTGAGCGACTGGAGTGTCGTCACAACTGCCAGTGACAACTGGACCCGAAGCTCCCATCACGCAAGCTCTAGAATGCCATGGATCCTTGCCCCCCTGTCAGACTTGCATCA